GATATAGCTATCACATGTCATAGTAAAGTTGTTCATTTGTACTACGAAGTAGCAAAATTGTCGCTTCTTTCAAAGCATATTTTTTATGCAATTAGTTAGTTTTATACGTGTAACACTTTTGATAATTACTATTTTTAACAACTTATTGTCATTACATGCGTTTTCGATATAGCTGATATTTAATTTATTTATATTAATATTACTATGACGACGTTAATTAATTTTCTTTTTATCTTCGGAATAATTACGCGTCAGGAATTTTCTAAAGTAATTCGCATAAAAATACTCGAATATCCCTTGCATCAATAATAGAAGAAAAGAAACGTAACAACAAAGATATTAAATAATCGGCATCAGAGATTTACGCCGATATAATGTTGCCAAATTAATTTCCAATATAAATCAATCAGAAATAAAGATTTCTGTATCTCGAATAACACGAATTTATCGAGATTATACTTATTTCGATCGATGTACGAATTGTGATAATTGTAGATAGATTATTTAAAAACTCACTTGGCGAGCATTCGTCATCTTGCAAGGGAAGTTCCGCTTCTTCGACATCGACGAGGCTGCGGATACTGAAGACGCTCTTCGCCACTCTAGTCTTCTGTAGATCACCGACGCCCTCCGTGGCTCTTCTGGGCGTCGTACTGAGGTCCATTGTCGATATTCACACGATTTTCGTCGATAACAGCGAACAGCGGGGGGATATCGCTATCTCACATTCTTTCATCATACATATTGAAATCGTGTCGTCTTCGTCGCCGACGTTGTCGTCCACATCTTCGTCTACGTGGCCTCATTAACGACACAAATCAATATCTTTCACGAAAATATCTATAAATTCTTCACACTTTTCCTTAATTTTCTCAGTCATAAATACTTATTCTCGCCTGGCTAGTTTGATGATACTTAAAATGCAATATTCAACGGAGCACTTGTTACTCGGAAGTTTTCATTTGCAGTTCCTATTAGACGAACTCGATAACATAATCTTGTGATGCAATGGATTTTGACAATTGGATCTCGATTTCTGTCGACACTTGTTAATTTTTTCTTTAAATTATCACAATCATACAGAATGGAATTCAACGCGATACAACTTTAATTTTTTAAAAAGACTGTTCTTCTCTTTTTATCTTTATTTTTAGTCGCAACGCGTATCAAGCACTTATTAGTCTAGATAACAGACTATCATCTGTTCGTCGCAACATCTCCAGGAATTTGATGATAACTTCAATTGGAGTACGCTACGCTATTTTTCACAGATAGATAAATATAGTGATCACATATCATGTCGTCGCATATATTCGACGTTATCGATTGCACTTTTTTCCCCCACAGTCCTAGAGATCGATTATCTTTGAATATCCGGCGATGGTATTTTTTACGTTGTACTCTGATACTTTCCCACGCGTTATCACGTGAATCGTTTCCTCGTATTTTTTCACAATCCGATAAATCCGATAATCACACCGGACTGTCAACGGTCGCATCGCATTTTTTTCTCCAGGTGGGAACAAGCGTTGGCGTTGTTCAAAATACTTTTAAACGCACAGCTATCATTAACAATAATATTGTGCATTATCGGGTCCGTCGGCAGGTAACGAGCGTGTTATCAGAAGCGCATGTCATTGTAGGCATCGAATCGCGCGCGCATCGCATGAAAACTGCTCCTGTTAGATTTATAAACACGCGCTCACGTGCACACGTGCATTTTACCCGGTAAGATCAATGAACTTTTTCACTCTGAATGATTTACGTATGTAATTTAACATAGCTTCTTGGTCACTCCTGTTTGGTTTGCGAACAATTTTAGTATTTTTATCTTCCCAAAAGTATAACGTTTTTTTTTAAGAATCGTCAATTTGAAACAAAACGATTCTTTCGTCCTTGTCCGCTGTGAACTAAAAAGAGCCGTCTTCACGCAATTATTTTCAGCCTCGGAGTAGCGGAAGGAACAGATGACGCTCGACGTAATGTAATAACAGAGGACAATAGCGATGTCAAAAATCTTCCATCTGTCGACACTATGCGGTTTGACAGGTTTATCAACTTACTGAGATTTTTACAGGAACATACAAGGATTATTGAGTAAAATTTTAGTGACCAAGAATTAAATGCGCTATCATTAAGTGACGCTACAAGTCATGTAAATATTATAAAGTGGAGTTCCACCAATTCTTTATTGAACAAATTTTTCACATTGCAAACTGGACTTATTACAATGTCTATAATCAGTCTTTAGCATATAAATAGTCTATTTTCACACGAGCACTCTTCAAAATCGCATAAAGTTATTATAAATTCAAGAAATAATTGACACAATTTTCGATGTAGATGCAATATTTTTCTCGAGAGATTGTAGATTTCTTCACTGTTCTACAAGTCTGTTTGAATGTTACATGTGATATGATGACCTCCTTAAATCAATCGCTTCCGTTACAATGTCCGTCATGCACCTTTCTTCAACTTTTCACAATTTTCACAAGATTGTTTGTCTCAAAAAATCGTAGGATCTCTTATCACCAAACATTTCCCTCTTTAATTACAAGTTCGATTCCTCGCAAGTGTCATATTCAAATTTGAGCACGCTGATTGCACTTAGAACCAACTTTACATGCGTTACAATACGCATCACACATACACTTGTCTGACTCTTCAAATTCAATTGACATATTTTTTAACATGCTCGATAACTGATAACCGTCACTGACATCCGTCGGTCTCACCTACAATCGGATCGATTTGACAGCTGACTAAGTCAGCTCATGTCATAACGAACCAACTCGTTTGAGAAGCGGGAACGACGCCGTAAGCTCGCGTGGACAGCGCGCGCGGCACACGCGTATCGCGAACTCCTGGCCGGCAATGTGCGCGATCGTGTTCCCTCCACTTCGAGGAGGTCGATCGCTCGTGCTGCCCAAGGTGATATCAGGTGGTAGAGGGGAAGGTATAGAGACTCTGTAGACCGCCTTCGTGGAACAAAATGGAGTTGGACGCAGGTTGAAAGCCCGCCCATCGAGATCCGCCCCCACACGATCGTAACGGGAAGGGTTGACGGACGGACTTCTCTCTTCCTGAGAGCTGAATCTCGAGATGTGTTTTGCCTCAATGATTTTCATGTATTTAAAAAAGTCATTTTTTACTTCAGTGATTTAACTTGGATTTTTAGATGTAGATACAGGTGTTTTGTTAATGCTATTGTAGAAATGTTATAATATGATAGGATGTGTATATGTGTATATTGGTCTTATTATGTATTATTCGAGAAAATTTGACAGAGAATAGTCGATGATCTATTTACGCGAGATAAACAATAATTGTCCTTTGAATTATCCGGATATTACCGATCGGTTTCGGCAAAGCGAAAAAAATAATATAAGGATACAAGGTTGAGTTTACCATCGTCGAAAATATGGGCCAATGCGTACTCGATGTCGGCAATTGAGTATCGATAAATGATGCTAGTCCAATACTGACATCTTTGTAAATTTGGCATCGATCACGTACTGTTTAGCAGTACTGTTTCATAATAATCGACCGATGCCGATGATATGTTGATTTTACATTGTTATTTCATATTTGATTAATGGTGAAATAATATCGTAACAATATTAAAAACATAGTACAATTACTATATATCTCAAATGGTATTATTTAGATTTTATTTTACGTCCTACTTAAAATTGTCTTATTTATTACCGAAACTTATTTTTTTTCCATCGAAACGGGAAAAACGTACGGGTTTTGCGAACGGATAATTTATCAAACGGACTCATTGAGCTTGTCTTACGATGGAGTAGAACAATTTTAGGAGGGAATAAAATAAGCACGAAATATGATTTATTTTCGCGAATTTTGACCATAGAATTAATTAAGCATAGGACCACAGATGCCTGAGTAGGCTAGGGTAGATTAGATGAAATTGGCGTATAGCATAAATAAATTTATTCACATTCAAAAATCCTTTATTGCAGACACGATTTTTCATTAAATAAATTATTTCGAATACTCGTACTTATACATATCATATAAGTATTTTGAAAAATTTCCTGAATATTATTTTCTACGCCAATTTGTACAATATTTAACATGGAAATAAAATAAAAATCTAAACTGCTTTTTACCTTTAAGAAAGAGAAAAGAGAGAAGAAATAAAAGAATAACATTTTTATAAAATAGCAATTCTTTTATACATCAGTTTATATTCTTTTATTTTATTTCTTATATGTTTCATGTTTTTCCAATAAAAATGCTAGTTTATTTTTATCTTATAATAAAAAAAATAAAAAGCAATAAGAATCAAACGTGATGCATTTAATTGTTTGAACCAGTAATAAATATGTTATAAAAATTAATAATTATGAATATTAATTCTTGTAAATGTTTTAATAAATATTTCAAATATTTTATGTTATATTACACGGTTGTTTATGTGCAATATTTTACTAATAACAGGTAACCAATAAATGATTAATTGCCGATAAATACATTAATATTTATGATATAAAGTACGATATAAAACAAAACATACAATTTATTTATTGAAATTAAAATATTGAACGCAAGGAATAACTTGTAATATGGAAAATATTCTAACGTCGTGTAAGGAATTTTAACGCTGACTCGCGATAGGGAATAGTTTTCATACGCGCATGCTCTATATCCTCGCTCTCTCACTTTCACGCTTTCTCTCTCATGCGCGTTATTGGCACGCACATTCCTTTCCCCTACTACCATACTTCTTCCAAATTGTATATTGACGCGACCTTGTCCTTGCTTCTGCGCTGTTATTATTCGCACGGCGACACTTGAGCGAAGCAGACGTATTTCACGTATTATCCCTTCCAATACCACTACCCTTGCTATTCTTTTACTTTAATTATTCTTCGCAAATACAATTTTCCGAAATTATTTGCTTCCGATTCTGTTTCGCTAGAGTGTCGAACGTGTTATGTTCCGTGCGATGATATTCGAACGTTATTTTTGTCCTAACAAGACAATACGCGTTGGGAGTGCCGTTAAATATCGCGCAACTTTCATATTCGCATCGCAAGCGCATATGAGAGCCTTGAAAGAGTAGAATGAAGACGCTAAAGCAGGGTATCGTGCGTCAACAAAGCAACATTTAGGTAATTAATCATTTGTTTGTTAATTGTTATCTATTTAAAAATTAAACTGTTTCAGTAACAACACAATTAATTTATCAAATTTTTTATAGAAACAATTATAAAGAATTATAGAGTTATTTTTGAAATATTAATTTTTTGGATCAGATCGAACAATTTTAAATAATGAAAAATCGAGATACATGGATCGTTTATCAATAATTAATTAATTAAATAATTTTTTTTTAAATCCAAAACAAAGTTTTATTATTATAGATAATAATGTAATTTTTCAGACAACACAAGTTAGATTCTCAGAATTTAATTTTTTATTAATGATTTACATTTATATAATAAATATATATTCGGTTAAATTTATTATGTTTTATCATACTAAATTTGCAAAATTTGTGCAACAAACTATGCAACATTTTACATACATTCTATGATGATATATTTATTTTACTTACGTATAATTTATAGATGTGCGATTTAAAAAAAATTTTTTTGTTTTAATTTATACCAACTGTAATTCACTAGTTGCTCACTGCTAGTTAATTAGAGAAAATTGCTTTTATTAATATTTACACGAAATTCTCAAATCTTGGCATATAACATCAGTCAATTGTTTCATCTATAAAATCTATATAATTAAAAGTTTTATACATTGATATTTAAGATAATGAAATTGTCTGTAAAAAATATCTTTCGATTTTTTAATTATAGAATACGTAATTTTTTACGTAATCAACATGTTCAGAATGCTCAAAAAGCTTTAAAACACGGAATTTTAATCAAGTAAAATTAATTTTTATATTGGATCACGCTGACAAATCTACAGATAAAAATTTAAAAAATACGATACGATACAAAATACGATAGGCGAAAAATAAAATAGTAAATTATTTATCAAAATTAAAATTCTAAACGCCAAAGAATATCTTATAATGTGGAAAATATGGTATATCATATTAGGAATTTCGACGTTGATTCACGGCATGGGGGGGGGGGGTTGTTTACGTTCGCTCGGTGACCTACGTACTTTATATCCTCTCTTCCTCACTCTCACACTTTTTCTCTTGCACACACTGATCGGCATGTATACATTTCTTTCCCTACTTCTTTCAAATAATACTTTTCCCAATTTGACCTTATCCTTGAGCTTGAGCTGGATTTTACTATTCGCACGGCGGCACTTGAACGAGACAGACCGTATCGGCGCGTTATCCTCCCTACTTCAGTTCTTATTACTCCTTACAATTTTCCACCTTTCTCCCCCTCCTAATCGTTACCTGTTGCGTACGCGGTGAGATGTCGAACGCGTATTCCGTGCGAGCGATATACGAGTTTTACTTTTGTCCTAATATGACAAAATACGCGTCGAGAGTGTCGTCTAAAATATCATGTAATCATTGTAATATCATTTCGCCGTAATTTTGCAATTATATAAAATGCGCGTCGGGAGTTCCGTTTAAAGTGCCGTGCGATTTAATAATTCGTGTCGCGAATGTGTGCGCAGTAATTATTTTATAAATATTTATTATTTCAAACACTAATCTGTTTCAAAGGAGTGTTTCAAAGGACCACTGAGAGGAGGAGGAGGCTCAGGAGGAGCATCGGGCGCCGGCGGAGCAACTTTACGGTAAGCAATAATTCATTTATTTGTTATTCGCAAAATATTACATATAAAATATTATATAATGTAGCGGATATAAAATATTTAAAATACTTTAAATATTTAGTAAAATATTTATAATAGTAAATTAATATTTACCATTTTTAGAAATTTTTTACATATTATTATTTCAACTAATTAAACTTTTTTTTATTTAAAAAATATATTTTTGAAAATTTTAATTCTTTGTTTAGACGTGTGCATAAATAAACGAATATAAAGTTTTATGTGCGCAGTAATTATTTTATAAATATTAATTATTTTAAACACTAATCTGCATTTATTTTTTATTTTACAGATCAACTTTGTGCGCGTAATCGGTGCTACAAAATATATTCGTTCCGTCGTATAGTATAACAAAATGTGCGTCGGGAGTGCCGTTAATACCGAGAGTTATAGCGAATCTATAGATGAACGCATTTTTGCTGTATGACAAATATTGGGACACGATTTTTTTTGACTTTAGGCTTGGCTCGGGGGAGGGAAAGGTCGGTTTCAATCATAAAATCTCCACTACGGCAGGGCAATCTTCGGTTCTACGTGCAGCGCGCTAGTTGTACAGATAGCCGGACTGTCGAAGGTAGTCGAGGACGGCTACCGGAGTTAGTCAAACGCTACCGATTGCTTTTCAGATGCCTTGTATCTAGTCGGTTGATTGGATGACTAATCACCTCATCTTTTTCGAGCTTATCTTTGCCTTCTGTTTTGAAAGAATCGTGCCCCAATTGGTAAATGTGGTCGTCTGAAACGCGGACGGAATTCGCGCGTAACGTCACAGCTTGGACAATTCGGTTTGATTCGCCTGTGATGTCGGGAGTGCCGTTTTAAGTATCGCGCGATTTTCGTATTCAGGTACGCATGCGAGCAATGCATGCGCCGCGAACGCGTGTGATTCAATGTGAGTGCTTCGAAGGATCACTGAGAGGAGGAGGAGGCTCAGGAGGAGCATCAGGTGCCGGCGGAGCAACTTTAGTGTAAGTAATTATCTGTTATTTATTATTTGCAAAATATAAAATTTACAATGAAATATTTGTAACGTTTAATATTTATATTTAGTTATTAAAAGTTTTTGCTATACATATT